CATTCAAGATACAGCTACCATAAGTAAGTGACCTCTTAAAACAGCTGCATCTTTTTCAGGCCCATGCAGAAGCCTGAAAATAGATGTTGTTGCTTTAACAAGGTCCTATGCTTGCTATCCCTCAAAATCTGATATCTCTTTTCTGGATAATTTTTGCAACTACTATACAAATACTCTGTGTGTGTGTGCGTGTGTGTGTGTCTGTCTGTCTGTCTATCATCTATCATCTATCACCATTGGAAGACTGAGAGACCTGTATGAACTGGTTACCGACAGATCATCATGGACAAAGTCACTAAGAGTTTCTTGCTGACTTGATGGCACATAATCAATCAATATTATTTAAATAATTTTCACTATGCTGCAGATACAGTAATCATATTTTCAGTGACCAGAGACCAAAGTTTTTGCACATTCCAGTCACTGATGTTTGCAGGGAATAAGTCATTGATGTAGCTTTTCACTCTTTTTTACATACTTTTGGTTTATTCCCCACTGGAAATTAGTGGAAGTTAATGTAATCTTGTGGTGGGATATGTCTGTGTCGTGTATGTAGAGGCAAAAACACTGTTTCAGGGGTCTAGGAAAGTCTAGGAAGGGTGTGGGTTGCTCACCCCTTTTTCAATCCTTCCCACTCAATTTTTATATAAATCAGTGTTTCTCAGCATTGACAACTTTAAGATGTGAGGACTTCAGCTCTCAGAGTCCTGCTGGTTGGGAAATTCTGATAGTTGAAGTCTTCACATCTTATAGTTGCCAAGGTTGAGAAACTTTGATCTAAATCATCGAAGAAGGCTGTAAGAGGCTCTGGCAAGTCAGCCATTTAATTATTTCTCTTTGATTTGTTTCCAAATCTAGGGTGAAATCGGGGCTCCTGGGAAACCGGGCTCACACGTAAGAGTTTTTTAATTCACAGGTCTGGTGTAGGATGGTGAAAAATTATTTCTCTGGAATTTGTGTGGGTATTTGGGATTTATAACTCTTGAAAATATCTCCTGTCTTTGATCAAAGGAAGCCATATTCAGTGTCCGTGCATTACTGGTAAAAGATTGGTCTGAAACTGAGATGTGTACAACAGTTTCTTCATTCTGTGAAGGTTGGAGAGAAAGAGGAATGAAATCGTCTGTCTTGGCTAGAGCTTCTAAAGGTTATTGTGGTACTAATGTAGGGATAATGAACTGAAGGCCAATTTCTGACACATCTCTTAGCTTATGGTCCTGAAATAGTTGGAAATTTACAGGGAAATCAATTGTACACATACATATTAAACAGCCTAATACATAATGATGATCATGATAATGATTAGATTGTACATGTATTTGGGTCACTTTTGAAAGTATATGCTGGATATAATTTTTAACTGGCTGCTATTTTTATTATGTTACCATGGATTCATTGTGCATGTTAACCACTTTTCAGAAGGTTCTGAAGGGTGTCATACAAATTAAATTAAAACTTCATTACTGATATTGTTATTTCAGTATGTATAAAATGGCTGAAGGGACCATTTAATGTAGCAACTCAAAGCAAATTGTTCCATTTTTTAATAGTCATTACCCTTTTTTTGTCAGGTAACTGAAACATATTTCATAGGTTAACCTCTCACCAGCTCTTAAGCTGGGCTGCATCACTTACGAAGATTCCCCTTGCAGGCCAACCAGTAGTTTCATAGAACAATTTAGCTGAGGTAGCAAAGAAGTGACTTGCTTCCAATTCAGCTTCATATTGCTGATTCCAATGTATAGTATATAAGCTTACGCTTAGCTTCACTGTTTTCAGTGGTGATTAGGGCTGGTGCCAAGTCAGATAGGAATTATTTCTCAAATGTAGTTTCTAGGGACTTTTAACACAATTGCTGAGACACCAGTGTTTCACTAACACATTTGGGATTCAACTGTACGGTGTAAATCTCTCTCTCTCTTCCCTCCCCCCACCTCTCCAAACGGTGTTCTCATGTATGGACCTCAGACTTAGTCCATATATAACAGTGAAGACTATCTCTTGGATAACAAACAAGTCAGACTTCTTTTTCCCTTCTGTTTTATAGATAATCTTTTCTGTTTCAGGTGCAGATTGAAGGCTTGAAAGGAGAGCAAGTAAGTCCTTTGTAAATGCTTTAGCACAGGTGATACACATATATGTAAAATACACTCAATGTTATTCAGGAATGTTTTATTGCAGGTAATCTGTCCAACATTACCTCTCAAAAGACATGAGTCACCACTAAACAATTAACTCTTAAAATGTGTAAAAAGGAACATAAGCAAAAAGACATTCAACTATCTGAAACAAACACCTTGATTCATTCTTGTGCACTTGAGATAGATCTGGTCAATATTTTACATTAAAAATCTTGATACAAAAATGCTGGTGATCTCATTGGATGATGTTATGCTACACTAAAGATCTTACCTTCAATACTATTTTTGCTTGTTTTAACTTGTAATAGACTTGGGATGTAAAAAGAAAGATTCTTCCACTTAGAGAATGATGAAAAATAAACATTACACATCTAAGACCTCAGGACTCATGTGTCCCAAGGGTATGTGTCAACTGATAAGCAAATGTGAAAATAAAATCCCATCAGCAGAGTATGAATACAGAGCAAAACTTCACAGCGCCTGTTTTAACTTTGAAATTTCTTTATAGGGAGCTCCTGGCCCACGGGGACCAATGGGGCCTCCAGGAGCTCCAGGTAGCCCAGTAAGTAATTTTATTTCTGAATGAACTATTTGTAATCTGAATGATTTATGCAATGATAGAATATATTAAACATGATGTGAACCTATACTGCATTTCATTTTGAAGACAGGAAGTAATGCAGTGGTGATTTGGGAAACCAGGTTTGAGAAATAGTTCTGTTAAAGGTCTAGGAGAATCACTATAGTACACAATACTGGTTTAACAGATCAATAGTATAACTTAGTAGAAAGAAGGTAGGTGCATATTTTCTTCTGTTCTATCAAAATTCTCTTGCTTCAATATTAGGTAGTAGTGCATTTAAAACTGCAGATATCGATCACTGTGTTAGGTTTAATGATTAAAACATGTTATATGTGTAAAAAGTATCAGGTATCGAATTATAAAGCTCAGGTGATTTAAAAAATATCTGTCTGGGATTCTGGACAGCTGTCGAAATAAGAGTAGACAAAATTGGTTTAGAAAAATAGACTATAAAGTATAAGATGGTTTTCTCTCTTCTTAGTTTGCTATGTAATAAAGGTCTTTCTATATAATCAATATCCATGTTTAATTTTTTAAGAATGTGGTTTATCTTTGGCTTCCCACAGATCTGAAATCTGTATCCCCTTAACTTTCTTTTCAGATAAAATAATTCATGATCTCTGTGTGGTCAGAGAAAATGTTCTAAGTATACTAAAACTCCACGATCCAAAATTCATGTACTAGAGTGACATAAATATCACTCCACCCTTTCTTTCGTGGAAATTAAAAGTTAGAATTCTTTAAAAACAGATTTCCTTAATTAGACTTTGTTTTTTATGTTTAAATCATGTGTCAGTAGAACTATGACAGTTGTTGGGATTCAGGATGTCCTTTGAGACTGTAACTTATTTTAAGTTAGCTCCTGAGGAATGGAGCAAAACACAGACAACAAGGTGCAGAGAGGCATTTGGGGTAGAGGTATGGAAAAAAGGATCCTCTTACAGTACTTAAATAATGAAGGCATGTAGATCAGGGATGAAGGCAAGATTATGGAGCCAGCCTTAAGGATTTTGGTGATCACATTATTGCTTTTCCTGTCTATGTAATATAATTAATTGTCCATCACTCTTGATGCACCTGTTCCATCTCCTATATAATCCTTTGTCAATCTCAATCAGTGTGGCTGGAAGCCCAGTGATCACTACTTTAGGGCAGTGTTCCTCAACCTTGGGAACTTTAAGATATCCAGACTTCGACTCCCAGAATTCCCCAGCCAGCATGGCTGGCTGGGGAAT